TAGGTAGGTAGGAATCTCACATACTCAGCTACAAACAACATCTACTGTACGTCATATTTGAGCAAAGAAATTTGCTTAAGATACCAGTGGTATCACCACTGTGAGTGGTTGAGCAGAAGTACTTTTTCCACTCTTCCAAATAAGGATGTCTAATTGTATCAAATGTATGCCTGTGTCAAAGTCTGGCCAATCTACTGGACAGCCACAGAGTTATTCTCATTTCTCGGATCTTTGTAAAGAGCTCATTAAATCACGGATGCATACGTCTGGAAATAGGGAGGAAACTGGAGCACACGGATAAAACCCACATAAAGATGGGGAGAACACACAAATTTCACCAAGACAGGAATTAAAATCAGGATCCTGGAGCTGCGAGGTAGCACCGCTAGCTGCAATATGACTGTGCAGTCCCATGTAAAAACTGAATCATCTCCAAACAAAACATGAGTGCACATGTTTTGCCATTATTTTACTACAAGATTTCCTCAAGAGAATCCCACGCTTTTATCAGCGTGACACTGGTTTTAATTGTTAACAGGGTCCTAACCATCTCCCAAGGTCTTTTTTTTGCAAATGCTAGCCTTCTTTTGCACCATTCCATCAGTTTCACCCCATTCAGGCTAAGTAAGGTTAAGGTAAAAGCACTAAGAAGATCAGCACATCAGCTTCAAGATGTTACGTTTTCTGGTCATTGAAGTAATCTGCGTACAATGTGGAGGTAGGGGTTGGATCATTACGTTTTGGTAAAACAGGCGTCTTAATCTTTTAAGCAAAAATGTACTGCACATCAGCCAAGAGAACCACAAACTATTAACAAAAATACTTTAAAGGATAAATGGTAAAAAAATGGACTTTTTGTTAATTTTTCAGAGAGCTGAAAAACATGTGTATATATTCATTATATGTATTCAGCAAAGCCATATCAACTTAGGTGGATATTTTGCATTTTCTGCTACTGTTTCATGTACTGTTAAATAATCTCTCTCCTCACTGCTGCGTTTAAAAGAGAGATGTTTACTGGAACATAAAAATTGGCTTTCAAGAAACTTCATTAATATAGAAAAAAAAATCATTGGACTGCCCCTCCTGAATCTGATTACACTCATCCTCAACAACCTTGGAAAATGCCTCAGGATTCACAGTGTTTAAACTTGCTTTACTTTTCCTTCATCAAAAAAAAAATGGATTACATTTTTTGCAAAACAAATTTGCAAGTCATATCTTTCTCTCCTTTATAAACTTATGATTTTCACTGACAATGCACTCTTTCTGTAAACATGATTTTGCATAATTAAAATCCTTCCTTGGGGGCTGGGGAAAGTCACTTATCGACACACCTCGGTAGTTTAGAAACAACAACATAGATATGGCAGCATGAGAGTGTGGACATGTTTTGCCGGTGCAAGAATCAATTAGTATGAGACAGAAGGTACATTTGCAAAGGTACAATATGTTTTCGTTACTCAAAGCAAAGTAGTGTCGTCTGGAAGGCAGTGTGTTGAACTAAGTATTTCTTTCCAACAGTAACCTTAAACAAAGCAATCTAAATCTAAGTTCCTTCAGTCAGAAGGTCTGGAAACTAGCATACAATTCTGGGACTTAAGCTTAAGCATGTAAAGGGATAAGCAATAAAGAAGTGCAAAACACTCTGGGAAACCGCAGAACATGATTGGCAACAACAGACTGTGATACAATGTGAGGGTTACGCAACTAGTATGTGCAGATCTGTTTGCTAAAAGGGAAACGTTTTCACATGAGAGGTTTGTGGCAAAATGATAGCAGAAATGTTTTGTGAAACAGTGAATGCAAGTATATTCAGCTCCTTGTGATTTTTCTGGTCTTAGCTGCATTTCAGTAAGACTATCCAGATGATCATAATTGTGACCACAACTGTACCATCCAGAGCGATTATAGCTCAATATTTCTTTTGCTATTCATTTCGCCTGTGATCTAGACCGGATTTTGTCCCCCATCTTCATAATCAGTTACAAAGACACATTTAGAAACATCCTCGGTGTGAAAAACAGATAACATAAACCATAAGAAGTTGCTTGCTCTATACCACTAAAACAGTCAAATAGGAAAAAAGTTAGCATGATTAAAGAGAATCAAAATTAGGAGGAAAAACTTCATAAATTCCATGATTTCCAAATACTGTATACTAACTTCTACATCTACAGAAAAGGATATATTAAGGGATCCGGACAATAAGGGAAAGGCAAATCAAATGGGAGGCTCAGATTTATTAATAAGTCAAATTGCTATAAAATATGCAAAATTTCTTTCACTTTATAAACAACCTTACAAATAAAATTCACTCTGTGCTCCTCAATGTACCATTAAGAAAAAACTAGACTACACTTACAAAATTATAAATACACTTTAAGCTCTAAGAGAATATTTAGCTTAAAGTAAGGATTCTCTGAAATTTCAAATTGAGCTTCAAAGGCCAGAATATCAATAAGACAAAAAGGACCATAGTGCAAATCTGTACTCACGATATTCTGTTGACTAAGGCATCTTCATCTTCGTGGTCATCTAAGGAAAAGTTTAAAAACACTATAGTTAAAAAGAACAATAATAAAAGTGAAAACAGGAATTGGTTGGAATATCTGCTTCTAGCATTGTTTGCACTGTTGGTAAAAACGTCTATTAAGTCATTTTGCTAGATCTTAAAATTAATCCGATTATCCTCATTGAGAAAAAGAGGTGTGAATTATAAATCGTGTTGAAATTTGCCATTGCTTGTCTCTGCACTTTCGGGATGGTAACCCCAAGCGTACCCCCAGTATTCTGCCTACTGTATCTGCCAGATTATTTCATACAGTGAAGGAAACTGTTCCAGAAGAATTCCTGCAGCATCCAAAAGAGACTTCTTGCAATAAAATAATAAAATCAGTCTGCCGTCAGCGTGAGCAGCTAGGTGGAGACTTGTGCCGTCTGATGTAAATTCAAAGTTCAGTCAGCGAAAGGCATTAAGGCAACCTGGAATTCACTTTTCACATCGGTGCTACAGCTCAGCTAGAGATGTCATAGCCGTGTGTTTAAGGCTAATTCAAGGCGACACGCTTCTTGAAATGAACCGAGGCCCAATGCCTGTGGGCAGTGCTGGTCCAAAAATACTGCAGAGACTTGAGGTCAAGACTCCCGGACGGAGAGTCTGGAGTTCAAATCCCAGGTGGGAAAGTGCTTCTGTGGCCTTGAGCAAGGTATTTCACTCAAATTCATTCCAGTAAAATATATTTCTGGATGAATAAGAAAGGTCAGAATGTTTTAAACCGACATGCGTGGTTAAATAAAGGATTCATTTAGGATTTACATTTAAAGAAAAACAGTGTTTTACCTCAATTTATATTAATCCTGAGATTTGAATGTACCTCACTAAGCCTCTCAGCAGAAGTATATACACAAGCAATATTATTCTTGGAACAAAAACAATTAATTGCATCATATTTACATTTTGAAATGATGACTTTATTATTTATAAAGTATCTTATTGCATATTATTTCACTTGCATTTACTGTAAGGCAGTCATGGACTCTTCTGAGCACCTAATATACAGTTCTTTTTGACTACCTGGCAATGGTACCAGGTTTTAAAACTGGTAAACCATGACGTATATACACAAAAAAACACAGAGAGAAAAATGCTTTCAACTAAAGAATAATTCTGAGCAAAAGGGGAGACAAAATAATGACTAGTTCTGGAAAAACTGGTCCAAATGAAAATATTTTTAGTGTTTAAGAAATTACTGTATATACACAGTTTGATCAAAAACCTACTGCCTGCATCCTCAGAACCTATTCTGAGAATTTTTTAGGGATTCGGTCAGGGCATCCTGATCATGCTTATGGAATCCTGTTTTTCCTGTCCTCCAATCACAGGACAGCCCCTTGCGGCAAACAGCTCGACTTTGCTGGTGTTAGTTCTGGCTGCTTGGTCACAGTTCTTTGCTCCTGCTCACTCCTCCTTTCAGTCCTGACCCTGCGTCCCTCAGCACATACATTCCAGTGCACATATGTAGGTCAACACATCTTGAAAACAGTGTCCAGGTTAGGACTTCAACCTGTCATGCTTTTGGAGTCACAGTGCCTTTAAAAATTATTCAGACTCTTGCACAGTTTTCACATTTTGTTGCTCTAAAGATTGCAGTCATGACACTTAAAATCAGCAATTCATATCCGTTATATAGCCATCCTAATACACATATTCAAAGCAAAACCAAGAAAAACGTATAAATATGGAAGAAAATGGAAAAGTCAGGACTGCATACGTATTCAAAGCATTTGCTGGGGCAAACCTAAATGAGGGGAAAAAATACCTTAACTCATCACAAAATCAGTCATGTGGCTTCTGTCCATGTGCAATAATAGAGGGTCGCATGATTTTAAAATACACCTGTCTCTGTAAGGTCCTTTAGGCAGGTGTGGATTTAAAGCAAAGATTCAACCATGAAGACCAAGGAGTTTTCAAAACATCTCAGTGACATATTTATCACAGATCAGGAGAAGGATGTAAAAACATTTCAAAGAACCTTAATGTCTCTTTGAGCATAGGGAAGTCAATCTGTAAGAAGTGGCAGCTACCCAGATGCTGCCTTGATCCAGGTTGCCCTCCCAAACTGAGTCACAGGGCCAAGAAGAAACCGATCAACTGTGAGACCAACAACAATTCTGAAAGAGTTACAGATTTGAGTGGCCGACAAACAATGTCCATGTGTCAACAATGGGAGGAAAATCGTTCCTCACACACCTGAAAAAGGCTCCACGGCGGAAATGTTATGTTCTCTTTCTTCTTTTTTTCAGCATGGAATAAACCTATTACTTGTTCCTTTGCAGCCTACGCATGCTGACGCAGCTACCCACCAATGGGAGGAAAATGTCCACTTGTCAACAATATCCCAGTCACACCACAAAGGGAGTTTGAAGGGAATTGAAAAAAAAAACATCTCAAAACTCATATTGGTTTTGCAACAAAGGACCGAAGTCAAAGTCAGACCTGTGGGAAATGTTTTTGGTGTTAACCTGCTTCAACACCATCCCTTGAAAACCTGCTTCAGACCAAAAACAGGGAAATAAATTCCTTCACCATGCAACTGATCCAAAGCACAAGATCAAAGCCACACAGGACTGGTTTAAGAATCAGAAAGTGAATATATTTGAGTGGCCCAAAGTCCTAACTTAAGTCTAATTGGGGAACCTTGGAAAAACTTTTAAAACTACTGTCCATAAACATTTAACAAATTGAGAGAGCTTCAGCAAATCTGCCAAGAAGAATATTGCACCAAACCTGAGTGCAAACTTGGTAGAAACTTATCCAAAAAGACGTAATTGTTGCCAAAAGAGCTTCCACCAAATATCGAGATCACAGGTGTGTATACTTCTGCAGTCAACAAATTTATTTTTTACATTTTTTGCTGACATTTACTGTGACTTACCTTACACTTACAAAGTCTTCAGTTTGAGCACTCATGCTTCGAATCGCAAATTAAGTTTAAAACAAAAAGGTGAATGCCTCATTCTGTCATTTCAAAAACTATGACACACCATAGGAAGGGTCTGAACAATTCATAATGCACTGTGTGCTGAAGCACAGACCGGAAAGAAAACCTGAAATAGTTTCCAGTTTTTATGAATGAAACACATCTGCCTATTGATGAAGGCACACATTTGGACTAGCAGTTTTGAATTGAGTAATCTTCCCCAACTTCGGAATTTGTGTTAACTAATAAATGTAATAGATTCAGGAATACCTGCAAATATCAGCATTATTATTTATGCACACTGACACACGGAGTTGTATGATGTTCAGGTGCAGTTTCAGTATAAGAGCAAACTAGTAAATCGTTCGAGGATTTTCAATGAGAACAGGCGATGGTGATATACAATGATGTTCAGGGATTTTTTTTTTAATGACATTCATTTTCTCAGCATATTTGATGGTATAATAGCAATACTCACTGTAAGGCACCAGAAAACAAGCAGCAACTACTACTCACCAGCTTTCCTCTTGTATCTGGTTATGATGAAGTAAGATACAATGTAGAGGACTGCAAACAGCAGGAAACAAATCTGTGAACAAAAAAAATATTTTTTAACTAAAAACGCGAGTTAAATGTACCTTGCAAATAATATATTTTTTGACCATTTTCATTACCATATTTTAACTTTCTGTCCTAAAAGTATTCAGTTTTTGGTATTTTAGAAAGCACAGACAAGACAAGAACACCTGTTTTGTTGCTGTAGATAAACATACTGCAATATGATTTGCCTTCATGAAAACATCAGTGCTGTAGAGTCTTAATTGTGTTGGTAATTATGCAAAACCAACATACATAATATATATTTAGTATCATTCCTGAGAAGCTCATGAGGATGTTCTTCCTTGAAGCCAAAATACTGCCATTCCTGCCTCCTCATACACTTTAACCTACTGTAAATACCAAATGACCTTTTACAAAGGGCAAAAAGATATGCTGCCTATCTTAAGGGACAAAGTCAGTCAAAAACAGGTCAATCACATTCATATTTATATAATTTGCAAAGGAACAGGTAAACATTTATTCCATGCTGAAGAGAAAACAGACAACATTTCAGCTGAGACTTTGTCACACCTGAAGAAAACTCCACAGCCAAAATGGTGCGTTTCTTTTCAACATGGAATAAATATTTACTTATTCCTTTGCAGCCTACACGCGCTGATGCGGCTACCTTCTTGAACTTCTTTATAGAATTAGTTTGATCCATTAACTCAAAATCGACAATATTTTTGCAATATAAACTTCCAAACAACAAAAAAAAAGTTACACAGTACAATTGTAAGTAGAATAATATAAAGGTTCTGTAATATATGTTTCAACAAAGGCAATGTGTTGTACTACAACAATACAAGACAAGCTAAAGCACATAAGGTGAAAAAAAATTTGAAAAGTGAACATGCAGAATAGCACAATCCTGTACAAATTAAATTCATTTCCTGGACTCAAACATTAAATTAGTCCTCCCATGAAAAATTGACCTTTTGTATGTCAAAGATACATAAGCTGGCCTTTTGTTCAATAAATATCTTTACATTTAAATGTTTAAGGAAACCTGTAAAGTTAAGATTATTAAGGTTATGGTGTACTACAATGCAGACTTGATGTGAAATTGGATTGGTTTTTCAGATAAGTCACACAAATTTCTAAAGAAATAACAACCAGACCTGTATTTCACAAAATAAGAAAAAAAAAGCCACAGAAGTCACTACTCAATTATTTATTTTTAGGAGATGGCAAAGTCCGCACTCAAAATACATTTTGTAAACTACTTCACTTTTTAAAGAAGCCAAGCTGGAATTATCCCCACATTGCTCAACGATTAATGCCGATTTTCATTTAAACTGACTTCAGTGATAAGAGGATAGGAGAATGGAAATCTTCAGCTCAGGATTTCCTGTTGGCCACACCAGCATCAGCAGACTCATACAAACTCTTTCACAGAAAAAAATACAACTGTATTTTTAAATTATTTATTTTCTTTTTTACACTGCAGACAAATATATCTCTTTTCACCATGGTAAATTACCAAACTAAGCAGTTAGGTAGTAACATCTGCATATGGTGCAGGCCTTTTTGCTGCTCCTGATTTGGCTTACATTAGTAGTGTATATTTTGTAAACCTTTTAAATTACTGTAACAGACATTTTATAATCTGTAGGTTAAATCGATATCTGATCATCAAATAGAAAAATGTAGTTAAATCTTGTCACAATTTTGCCTCTTTCTGTCATTTGCAAGGGCAATTTAAGATGTGCAATTCAAAATCTAAAACACGTGTCACTCCATTTCCTCTCAAATGCAGTACAAGTGTCTTGCCATCATGTTATTCAATACATAATTTAACATCCAATAATTAGTTATAGTAAAGATCAAAATTATCATTTGCAGGGGTACTTCATTGTCTTTCTTGGATTACCATGTTAATAGACATTCACTGGTGTTTTCATCATTTTTTCCCCATTTGTTATTGCTGTTCTCAAAAGCTTTGTATCCCATCATGCTCTTGGAAATCAATGACAGGGTGACTTGAAAAACGTGCACAAGCAGCCAATAAATTAGATGCTTTATGCTTTTCAGGGAACTGTGAGAGTTGACAAAGCAATTGTAAATCAATCTGAATTCATGGCTTCTTCATACCAACTGATGGGAAGTGAAGCATTTTTCAGATAGTTAGAACCTTTTTAATATTGGTATAGGACCACTATCAAAATGACAATATCAGGCAATGTTCACTTCTAATTACACAATTATAGCTCCAAAGCCGCACTTATTGTAAGATTACTTTCAAGCTTAGAAAACTAAAACAGTTTTATATATTATTTACCTATACAGAAGAACTGAACAGGTAAATATGATTGCAAATGTGATGCTCTAAGCATTAAGTGAAAATTGTTTTTTTTTTAGTATTTTAAAAGGACACTACCAGTTCTTGCCAATGTTAAGTTACAGTAATGGGATAATATCATCACACGCTCAATGCACTTAGCGATTGGGGAAAAACTGTACTACCCTTGTCATCAGTACAAGAACTGGCAGGCATATTTTAACTATAATGGCTTTGCCATGTAAGTTTCAATAAATCTTTATTCCATTATTAGTTTACTGTAACACTGACATTTTAAAAATGATCATCATGGAAAACTAGATAAACTGTTAGAATGCATCAGATTTTTTTTTTTAAATCGGCAAATTCTCAAAAAGAAATCAACAATGTTCATCACTGAAATCGCAAACCTACAATACTGGCACAGCACCAGTGGCTTAGATGCTATAGCACACTGTCATTATTTGAAAACTCGTGACAGGTTTTGGGCAGTTCTTCATTCAGCCACAGATGTCACCGTCATTGAAACACAATCCAAAGCAAGCCCAATCAGTACACCAAAATAATTTGTATCCTTGCATGATCCCAGGCATTGTTTGTTTCTTTAAAAAAAAAATAATCAATTGCTTGCTTAAGCAACCATTGCCCTAAAGCAGCACTGCTGCCTCACAAGTTCTTGGGTTAAACGTTCAATTCAGTAATGGGACACCTTGTGTGTGGAGTCTGCACATTCTTAAGGAGCTCCAAACACAAACTAGGTTATTTAGTGTCTCTAAAGAATGTGCACGTGTCCCGTAATGGAATGGCATCCTATCCAGCATAAAAGTCTTCCTTCTAACCAGTCTTTCTGAGATTGCGTGATGTTCTAGCTTCCTCTGCCCCTCACCTGGCTTATAAGCAGGTTACTGGTAAAGACAGGAAACAGCTTTAAGACAGACACTCAACCTAAGCTTAGAATGTAGGCACACTCCAATTATAAAGGTTGTCACAATGCAAATGAATGGGAAATGATATGATATCATCAAATGATAGGTTGAAGATAAAAGCTCCAATAGTCAAGTACAGCACTACAACTACAGCACACTGTAAGTACAGCACCAGCAATTTTAACTTTGATAATAACAGTGTTGCCCATTTAGAAGTAACTGAAATGCAAAATAAAGGCAGGAACACCCAGCAGTATCTATCAATGCTGTCACGCCTGCAAAATCTGTTAAAGCACAATACCACGTTGTATTTCTTTCTTTATTGTCACAGTCTAATCATACGCCTGGCTTGCAATTATTGCTCTAGTCTTGCTCAAATACCATCAGCAAACCTACTGCATACAGAAATTGACAATGCTTAAACACTTTCATTTACTTTCATGGAAGTCGATCGCTGGGCTTTGTTGCCCTTCCGCGCTCACAGAGTTTCCTACATCAGCAACTTCTCCAGGACAGGGATATCCCGTGGGAGTTACATAGTCATCAAAATCAACGAGGGACCACTTAAAATCACCAATCACACGTTTCGTGCGTGTTTATCGCTGGAAACCAGACCAAAGCAACCCACGTGTTAAAACACGCAAACGTCTTGTAGAAACAATGGTGCCAGAGAGAAGACACTGCTAATAACTTCAGTTGAGGATATACAGGTACGCACGATGACTAGTTTCTGACTAGTCTATGTTAGTCTATTGTATAGCACTCTTTTTTCTTTAATTTGACGTAAAAAGATTATTTAAATGTTTCATTGCTTTTGTTTAATTTGGGATGTCACTTACAAGACCAAATACAAGAAACACTAAACCAGGTAGATCCATTATTAGGTACGCCTGGGTACCACACAACCAATGCTGCACTCGTGACTAACATTTACAGAAAACAAATCCAATCAATATGCAAACGTGATCGATGCAAGGTCCGCAGAGACTGCCCAGCTTGGATCCCCAGAAATAAAGGCAAACCGTTTCAACCCAAAGGGTGGTATTAAGTAAACTCTCTGGGTCTGCTGAGATGCAGATCTGTGTTCGATATTTTAGATTTAAGAGAAGCGTTGTGCACCATAATCACAGTCCTCGATTTGATTTTAGAAATTGAGATTTGGGGGGTTCTGCGTTCAGAGGCGTGTTAAGGTGGAAATTGTAGCTACAAAAGCTACAGGCGGTGGCCACGCCAGGACACGTTTCCTGAACACTTTTGTTCTGGTGGGGGCGACAGGGATGGCGCCAAAGGGGGTTGTTTTCAGACTAGGCCTGCAAAAGAAAACTGTAAATGCGATTCAAAACTTGTCCCCCCCCCCTCCCAAGTTTGTTGTATTAATATTCAGTTCATCATTGCATGACTGTACTCACGATGTACTCCCGGACTTGGCTGTGGAAATTCTGCTCTCTGATAGTCACATCGTCCTCTTCCATTCTTCATATTGCACAAAAGCATCAATAACTCAACAAGGCAGGACAGCTGTCATGAAACACCTGCTGAGGAGGACTCCGAAATCCCACTAAAATAAACAAAAACACATCCCACAGTTCCCTTGCCACCTTTTAAGACAACCCTTTTTCGGGCGAGTCATAATGCTGAGACAGTAGGCCTGGTGACGCATTTAAGGGCGGCCTCAAAAGGGGTGTACGTCATCAAATGTGAGACTACATGACGCCTTTAATGTGTGACTGAAAGGGAGGCGTTACAAGTAGTGTTGCAATTATAGACGTTAAAAGAGGGGGAGTAGATTTGGATCGTTTCGTTTTGTGGACGTGATATTATAATTATGTTCTTTTTTTCATATTTCATCTTGCAAAATATAACACAACATCAAACTCCTTTATTCTAACACATTAACAAAACGTACTCTCTTGACGTTTTTCAATCTATCCAGATTTTACGTTCAGTCCTCTGTGATTGTGTTGAGCGCGATTAGTCACACATAAGACAGAACATTTTGAAGTCTAAATGTCTCTATAGCTGTTTCTTTTTTCAGTTTGCCACGTGCCTTGATAAAGACAGTAAAAACAGTGGAAACATATATGACGTTTTTTCCATGAGGGAGCTCGTCCTTCTCAAACATTTCCAAGTCTTTTGCATGAGTGTTGCAATGGCAGGGAAGGACCTTATGAAAAATACGACTTTGTTGCAGTTACAGCACGTCACAGAGCAGCGATTAGGTTACGTGTTGATTCTAAGGTATTTAAAGGGACCTTTCTTATTGTGGCATAGGCGCGATTGATTCGGATATATTAAATGTTCTAAACCTACACTAGCAAAGTGTCTTGACGTGATGTTCATGCCCAATAAGGAAATGCGCCTCAGAACAAAACAACCGAACTTGTTCAAATCTGAAACGTCAGCTGGTTTTCAGCTGACACTGCTGCCAGTTGTGCATCACTGAATATTGCATTAGTCTATCGGAATGATACAGATAGTTATATATTTGCATTTTCTTTGCCCTCTGCGATGCTACTTTGCATTGTGTTGAACGGCAAACGACGAGCTACTGTAGTTACCAACATTGCATTTAAACGGTGATGGCACAAAAACTAAAAACTGTTTTCGTCCAGTGTACTGATAAATGTCACATTATCACTTCAATTAATTTATCGGGGAACAAAATGTATTTACTGATGAATCGAATTTACAGTCACATTTTCAATCAACGTCAATGCCGCTAAATTATGACAAAGCCCATCATTTCAATGATCCAGCTTTAGATGATTTATTTATATGGATACATATTCATCATGAATACGTCTATCCTAGGCAAGAGTGATGATACTACGGTCTGACCAAGAAAATAATTCGAAACAGAACAAAAGTCAGTTGGTAGGACGTCTGAGCCAATCACCATTGCAGCTGTAGCGGAAAGGGTATGTCGACACCGTTTGACGCTCTTTCCGCTTTATCATGGCGGCGCCCATAGCCAGGCATGTTTTCAAAATTAATTTGTTCTCTAAAAGATGTTTGAGTTAAATATACAAGAACGCGTTAGGTTTTGACATTTTTTTTTACTTTGCACAATGTTTGCTTAATATAGGAGTTACCGAATACTAAGTTGTTTTTTTATAGATGTAAGTCAATTTGCGGTCTGAATTTTACTTAATAGTTTTAGACACGAAAAATGAAGAGAAAACCACAAGGGAAGCGGAGAGCGAAAGGTGATGCTGACAGACTGAAAAAGTTTAAAGCCTCCGTAGAGGAGTTTGTTCAAAGCAGTTCGGGGCAACTTCGTTCAGGCGAAGCCGACGATGACTATCGTGGGAGCTCGCTGCCAAGACTGAAGGGAAAAAGTCGCAAAGAGTTACGGAAAGAGAAACGAAAGCAAAAAAAGGCTAAAATGAAAAATTACTACGAGGGCAAAAAGCAGCTGGATCAAGATCAGTTATCTCACACAATGTCGGGTACAGGCCAGGAGGGAGGAGGGGGAGTGGGAAATGTTAAAAGAAAGATGGAGAAAGGTAAATCGGCTTTGAGTAAAAGCGAAGAAGCCCCTAGTCAGAAAAAAGCGAAAAACGCAAAGGAGAAAAACGTGCAGCAAGAAAAATCCAACAAGAAAACCAAACCTGTACATCACGAAGCTAAGAAAAAGGACAGCAGCAGACTGCGAGAGACGAGAAAGCAGGCGCTGTTAGAGGCTAATGTTGCTGAAGACAAGGAGATCAAGAGGCTAGAAAGACGTCTGGGTCTTAACAAACGGAAAAATAAGACGTCCCTTCCTCAGTCCTTCGCCGCTGATGGACTAGATTATATCCTAGGTGTCCTGGACTCCGGGACAACGGCGTCCGGTCTGTACGAGAGCGACGAGGAGACGGGCGCGACCGATGACAGACCGGAGAAACTAGAAGGAGGCGGCTCTGACAACGAGCAGGGTGACAGCTTTTGTGGGGACAGCGACACAGAAGAAGAGGCGATGGACGTTAATGAAGAAGAAGAAGAAGAGGACGGCGATGACCTCTCAGGAGATTTAGAGGAGGAGGAAGAAACGATTGAAGAAGCAGCGGAAGGGGGTGAGACTGAGGATACAGATGAACACGAGATTCCCGAAACAGAAGAAACCCAACCGGTACCAGAGCTTTTTTTTTTTTTTGGCTTTTTTATTGAAAGTACATTTCCAAACCTGGTATGGCTTAGTCACATAACAACTTCATCCATTACAGGGACTGAAGTTTCTTATATAAACGTTTACCTGGGTGTAGTTGATATTTCAGTCTCTTTTCATTTAATTTGTATGAACTGACAGAGTTTCTATTAAAAATATTGCTATTGCAGTTGGTCAGCACAATCTGTAAAAGAGCTTGCAGTATATTAACAATAACCTTTTTGATGGAACAGTCTTCTCAGCAATGAGCATCCAATTTCATAGCTTTATTGTGGCTTTATCATCACTGTAAAAGTTTTAAAATATTCAAGTGTACGTGTAGAAGTGAGTCTGAGATTTTTGTTTTGACGGGAGAAAGGATAACATTCAAATTTTCTTGTTGGGTCAGGTGGGTGGTGCGTCTGGAAAATACGTGCCTCCTGCTCTTCGGGAGACTGTGGATTCCCAGCGTAGGGCAGACCTGGAGAGACTGAAGCGCAGTGTGAAAGGGCTGGTGAACAGGTGAGGTCTGAGGCTGCTTCTACACGGAAAGACTTGCAACAGAGAGCTGGTGCTGTCAAAATCTGAATTCAAGTTAATTTGTCATTCCAGACACATGCAGTGGAACGAAATATTGTTCCTCCTGGTCCGCAGTGCAATTACAGACAAGACACTGACGTAGACAATGTAGACAGGACTAATAATACTAATATTAATAAATAAGATAGTGCAAACTAAGACAGTGTACACAGGATAATACAAATAGTGCAATTTAACTTTTACAGAATAGTACAAAATATACATTACACGGTATACACTAAACACTGGGGGAGTTTAAACCTTGTTTCTGGAATTGGAGTGGGTGCAAGTACTGTAGGTATCAGGGAGATGAGAAGCCTAACAGCCTGTAGGGAAAAAGCTGTTACAGAATCTGGTGGAGCTAGCACGCATACTGTACTGTATTTCACAATAATTCCTCACAAGCCATATATATGGGAATACAGTGATCTTAATAACATAAGGGGCGGTGCAGTGGCTCTGTGGCTAAGGATCTGCGCCTGTGACTGGAAAGTTGCCGATTTGTGTCCAGTGGCCAGCAGAGGAATCCTACTCCATTGGGCCCCCGAGCAAGACCCTTAATCCCAGCTGTTCCAGGGGTGCCATATAAATGTCTGACCCTGCACTCTGACCCCAAGCTTCTCTCCCTGTCTATGTCTCTCATGGAGCGCAAGTTTGGGTATGTGAGAAGACAAATTCCTATTGCAAGAAATTGTATATGGCTAATAAAGTGATCTCATTTGGTTTTAATTAGCTAATTGAACCAAAGCTTAACGTGCCAGTATGAAAAGGGGCAGCTGCATGGTAAAGATGTAAGGGCTGTGCCCGCCAGCCCAAAGGGTTGTGAGTTCAAATCCCAGCCAGTGGAAGACAATTCGGTTAACTGGGACTCCAGGAATCGTCGTGCTGTATTAATGGATTTCCAAATCATCTGTTACATTTAAAAAATATAATATACAAAAAGGAGTCGTCAAATCATGACTAAATCTCTCATTTAGATATATTATCGACACTGTAAGTCATGTTTTCTGCTAAATAATTTTTGAGTGATGTATGATTTGTGGTCAGAAGTTTAGGTTTCCTGTGTGGTGCTCTGGCACTGCCTTAATCCAGCAATGTATTTTATTTTGTTTATCAGTAGTCAATGACTACAGAAAATAGATTTTTTGGAGGGTTTTGTCTGAGCTAGCGGCTTCCCTGCCACCTTCCAGCCAGACACTAGACTTACTGAGCATCATTTCACATCTATTATTGCATTGGTTTACTGTTTACATTTCATTACACTGATTAATTAATGTCAACTTCTTTTTGGGGAAAAAAAAAACTATTGATCATTGAAGAATTTCCTGTTCTGAAGTTAAAACTATGCTAATAATTAAAAAGGCTGTTCTTTGCTTTAGATCTTCTCTTCACTTGCTTTCATGTTTTCTCCCCTGTGTGCGCCTGTGGTGTTGGTAGAGGCTTTGCAGCTTTCCACTGAGGATGTCTGAGTTGTTTTCTCCTGCATCCTGGCAGGCTGAGTGAACCCAACATGGCCTCCATCAGCAGTCAGTTAGAGGAGCTGTATATGAGCCACAGTCGGAAGGACATGAATGACACTTTGACCGATGTCCTGCTGGCAGCCTGTGTGACTCCAGCATTGATGCCAGACCGACTCCTCATGGAACACGTCCTCCTGGTCAGCATTCTGCACCACACAGTGGGGCTGGAGGTGAGATAACTGCTCTGTCTAGGGCTGCGATACATCAAGCGCAATACAAAAAGCAGTCAGGGCTGTGCAGCTTCTCATGAGCTATCTCTTGGTTTCTGTGTGGCCTGTTGACATGCAAAGCAACTTCAGAAAGGTTACAGTTGTGAAAATGATTGATTATACATTGTGGAGTTACAGAGGTGTAACAAAGTTTGTGGAGCAGTAGGAGATCTATCGGTTCTTACAGTGCAATGAAGAAGTGTGCCTAGTGCTGAACTCAGAAGAAGTACAGAGAAGGAAAAGGTCAGTTAAAATAAAACCTGTTTATTATGCTCCACGCTAATGATATTAAGTTAAACTCTAGTCCAGCTTCTTGCAAATGAACGTTATAGGAGAAATGGAAAATCATTGAAATAATTCTGATGCAAATCGAAACAGTTTTATGATTCTTTTTCTTAATATGTCAGTGTTCTTCTTTTTTTCGGATTTTGACAGTGCACTATTTTATAAATGTAGCCCCCTGTCTCTCCACTTTTGGGGGGGAAAAAAAGCAAAGACATCTGTTGTATATCAATTAGTTTCCATTTTCTTAACTTTTTTTAGAATACAGAGACTTTGTAACTATGCCTGTTCAGTCTGCCAAATAATAACATTGTAGAACAAAAGTGAAGACATTATCCACTTGCAAGGGATTGTAAATTCCATGTCAAATTGTGTGGGTGCTTGTTTTTTAAAACAATGTATGTTCATAGTATTTAGAAGTATTTGCTTTAAACTACATATTGCATGTGGTACATGGGGAAAAAAAAATATTTTGGGGTGTATTGAATCAAAGTATTTAATTGCAGTTACAAGATACTCATCGCTTAACATATCTGCAGATGTAGATCATATCAGGTTCATTCCAACCATCCTTTTTAAAGATGCGTTTTGGCTGTGTGGTAACCATTAACCCATGGATGATCATTAGTCATAGGTTGTTTAGCTAGCAGATAGTGTGTGCCTTATCTTGAACAAAGTTAATTTATAAGGTAATTGTGCACAGGCTGCTTGATTAATTGCAAATGGTCAGTTCACAGCTTGAATTGCCATGGTCAGGAAGGATTGTGTGCAGTCTGTATAGTGAAATAAATTGGTATAGTTTAATTCCTTAGTAACAGAGTATCTGTTACTCTAACTTTATTACTGGCTGACTACCAGTATTAACTGTGCGTGTCTTAGTTGTTCATTTATGTAGACGTATTCCTGTGAAGTAATTTATTTTGCTTTAAACCCTCTTTCTTGATTACATAAACACGGATTCGTCTTAAACGGACATAAGAATGTCCCTCTCTTGCTTTCAGCCTAACGAGCACAGGATTGTTCAGTCCTGGTCCTGGGGGGCCTGTCTCTCTGCAGGTTGAAAATCCAACTTAAGCTTAAATCGGTTGATTACCGGCTTAATGGGTCCAGTTTAACAGCTTGCATCTCTTCAGATGCTGGTTTGTTGACGAGACCTAGAACTCCTGGACCAGCATTGCCCGACACTAATTCAGCATGTTAGGCGATAGTAGCAGCATTCCCTGACTTCCCAGAGTATACCCTGACTCGCGCCCTTTGCTTGACGAGATAAGCTCTGGCTCCTGGGCCTGGATTTAGATTGAAGATGGAGGGGTTGGTAGGAGCTAATTGATCGCAGGATCTTGTTCAGCCTAGCTGGGTACCTTCTTCCATACCTCTCTGACCCTTTGTAAAAAGGTGATTCTTCTGTTCTTGATTTTAAATGCACTTCCCCATAGCAACCATCCATGTCACTGTAATCCTGAAGAAGCCAGAGACACTAAAACCTTTAAGAAAAACAATGTTGGAAAAACAATTAATTGTAAGCAGAGAACAGAAATATTTTTATTTGAGTTGTATTTCTAAGATGGGCAGAGGCTGAGTGACTGATAAGTCTTCTGTTGTGTATCGTCTGAGGGAATGATGCATAACATTTCTTTTGTCGTGATTCTGTTTCTGTGCAGGTCGGTGCCCAGTTCCTGGAAACGGTGGTCCACAGGTTCGAAGAGCTGTACCAGCCTGACTGTCAGGGTAAAGAGTGTGACAACCTGCTGGCCATTGTTGCTCACTTGTATAACTTTCACGTGATGCACTCACTGCTGATCTTCGACATTCTCAAGAAGCTCACCAGCAGCTTCATGGAAAGAGACATTGAGCTCATTCTGTTTGTGCTGAAAAATGTTGGATTTGCGTTACGAAAAGACGACGCCGTGTCGCTGAAAGAGCTCATCGCGGAGGCACAGAGCAAGGCCAACAGCTTGGGAACAAAATTCCAGGATCAGACAAGGGTACCCAGAAGACATTCACAGCTAGGCTTTCTCGGTTCTTATGGAAATTAATATTGTGTGAATTAGTGAAAAGTTTGGTTGTTGTTTTATTCTTATTTGGCTGAGTAAAGTTATTCATTGGCACAGTAACATTTGCCCTTTTAGCTAAAATTATCTTAATTTTATTATTATTTCTTTTTTAATTGTAATCAGTTGATACGTATATATTTTGGATGATAACAATACTGGCATGCCAGTATGCATCATCTTGAATAGAATAAGCACAGATCTAACATTATTTTCTTTTTTATTTAAATGATGGTGGCTAGTTTTTCAAAACTTAGTTATTACGTCTGCGTTTATTTTGAAATAGCAGGATTGTTTGTTTTTATTTCCTGTATTCACTGCTTTTGTACTGGCATCAAAGACCAAAGAAATTTCAAAAACTTGGTTCAGATGTTTATAGTTTTATGTAGTGAGGTAGTCATGCCTACTTATCACAACTGAGTATGTAGTTTCATTATCTCAGTGAATGAATGCAGTAGTGTAAGCTTTAAATTGGCAGTGATGATTTCCAAAATTAAAAATCTAAGAAATTGTTCAAGGAAATGTGAAAAGCAAACAACTAAATGTTACACTTGGGCAGCTGTTTTCTGTTTACCGACTTTCAGTTTTTGGCAGGTGCGGTTTATGTTGGAGACAATGCTTGCCCTGAAAAATAACGACATGCGAAAGATTCCTGGATATGACCCTGAGCCCGTGGAAAGGCTGCGCAAATTACAGAGGACTCTGGTAGGTGAAGCTGGAATAATTAAGTTAATGCTTTCTGATGTGGCTCAGTCCAGATTATGCCTTCACTGTCAGTGCATGTTAATAATGTTGTTAGGCAAATAAAGTTGTTTCCTTTAGGAATGGCTTGGTTAAATTAAGAAGTTGAAATGTCTTTGGAAATAATTAAAAATATAGTTCCCCCTGTCAGTTGTAACTCCCATAATACATTGGAATGACAAGGAGACTTCTGTATGTTAAGCCTCTGAGTAATGTAGAGCAATCACATGTCTGTTTGACCAGGGTGTCTGATTCTCTTGAGAGGGTGAATATGTCAGGTCCCTGTAATATATTATCCAAAGCAAAAAATCAGCCCACACCAGGTATGGCCAACTCTGATCTTGGAGAGATGATATCTAGCAGGGTTTACAGGCCAGCATCAAATCAGCTGTCTGTTAAGACTGGGAACACATACAAGCCTGTGTTCGGTTTGATCATTTAATTGATTCAGTTACATCAGGCCTGGCCACCTTTGGTCCTTAAGAGTCACAGGGTGTTGCCGTTTTCCATTTCGAATGACCCCTGGGTAGGTTAATTGGCTTCTGGGAAAGGGGTCAAAGTGTGTCTGTGTGTGCCCTCTGATGGATTGGCATCCCACCCAGGGTGTATCCCGCCTTGTTCCCGTTGCTTGCTGGGATAGGCTCCAGCATCCCCTGCAACCCTGAACTGGATGAAGTGCTTAGAAAACTGATGGATGATCTCTGGGCTACTTGATTGAATACGTCGCCTGTTTCAGTAATCACATGGAGGTTGTTGCAAGTTTTTAGGAATTATGATTTAATGGCAATCCATGAAATCTGCTGGACTGTGGCTCTCCAATACAAGAGTCATCCACCACTGACCAATGCATTTTATTTAAGGTGTCGTTTATATGTGTAATTGGAACATCGGCAACAATTGTGCTGACTTTCACCCTTAAATTTGATCATTCTGCAACACTTGATTTCCTGGTTGGAAATGAAGGTGTTTCACTACAACACAACCGATGAGTAAAATATCACGCCACATTTTATGTTATTGCACCACATTAAAAAGCAAGTAAACTGCTTCTGTCACTCCTAGAAGTAGCGACGATTAAAACTGGCGTTTTATCAGGGGAAACAAAAGATATTAATGAAATGCATTTGGGAACATAATTTGTTGGAAAGACAACTAATACTGTGCTTGTCCTTTTAACAATTTGAAGGTCACATCGTAAAAAAACGTTTTTATTCAGGTATTCTTTAGGACCTAAGAGGATTCCTGGCTGTTGGTGAGTAGGGATGGGAAAGCCCTGCCTTTTAGAAATTCCTACAAAGATTGTGTAGGATCACTGATCTCTGTTAATATGGAACTGGACCACCAGAGGGCAGTGCACCTAAGGATTTTTTTCCTGTAGGATGAGACCGAATTGGTATGGAATTACTTTAAAGGGCACTGGCCTTGTTTGCAAGTTTTTCTTCTGTCCAACAGCTAAAATCAATTGTGGCGATTGAGTGCTTCAACTTTGTTTTGTTTTTCCAGGAGGATTTTATTATGGTCACTTTTTTCTGCTTTAAGAAAATGACGTTATAACAGGGATAGAACGCGATGCCAATTTCCAAGTTAAGTGTGACGGGCAGATAGGAGGCACGTTGCCAAATTTAGAAACTAAGCATAGTTCAGAGCACCTCGGGGCTGTGAAATCAGTTCACGTCTCCGGTGGCCGTCGGCCTCTTGCTGTTCGGGAGGCGGTTAAAAACCGAAACGCGGTGCTGCCTCTGCCCCTGTCGCCAGGTTCACCGGAGCGCAGCCGGCAGCGACGTGCGGCTGCGGGTCTCCCTGGAGAACCTCCTGGCCGCTGACAAGGTGGGCCGCTGGTGGATCGTGGGCTCCTCGTGGAGTGGCGCCCCCATGATCGACGGCTCGGCCAACAGGCCGCAGCAGGCGACTGCAGGAGGCCAGGTACCCGTGCCCGTTCTCCAGACGTCGGCATGACTCCGCGGCCGGCTTCGAGTCCGGTGGCTCGGCCGGACAAGGGGCTTGTGGGCGACCAGGAAGATGCTTAATGAGGCAGAGCGAATCGCACACTGTCAAGCTCCCTCTTTAGGTGAAATGTGAACTGTTCTGGCTCGCCTGCATAGAAGAATAGTTACAGATCACGCTGTCAAAGGCAGAGACAAATTAGAAATGCACTGCGGCCGAAGTTCAGTTTCATAAAAGCACTACATCTTACATTGTAGGATGTCATCAAGAGAAGGAGAGACAATTATGTTGTGTAGTTGTTTTCCCAAGAAATGAAAATGAGCTTAAAACATTTCAGAAGCGTTCCATCTCCTATGTGGATAAATCAGTCAATGAGACACAAGAAGGGCAATCATTCAAAAGATCATAATGGTAAATCTAATAGGTGATAAATCTTCTGGTAGGAGAATATGAGATATTACGTTTACAAAAAACAGCTTTAGGGGCCATTCTGTAAACCTAATGTAAACCAAGATGGGATGGGATGTATTGACGTTTGAATTAACGTAGGAGCTTCTAAAATGAAAGCACTACCTAACCAGATGTCTAAATATTTCTTGTTGAAATTGTGACTTGATCCAGCTTTGTCTTACTTAGCGGTAACAGTCTCAAATATTATATAGGGGAGCGGTTCAGATTATTTTAACTGAACAGCATAAATTCAGTATTTTAGCAGTTTAACAAAAGTTGCTCATGTCTGCTGGTAATAAATGAACCTGCTGTAGAGGAGTCTAGGATGGTGTTATTGGCATAGAGGTGAATATGAGAGTTGTTAGTCTTGTCCAGCAATATTGTTAATAGTACTGGAAAAATGTAAGACCTATGCCAGAACTATTATCACTATTCACACACTAAATGCAGTTTTGTAACTCTCAACCATATGAGGAGTTTATATCAAAACCATTACTTCTCAGTTTTTGATGCAGAAGAATTGAGTAATCCACAGTATCAGAATTTTTAGTCTTTCAATCTGGAACCTGGAAATCTAACACATCAAACTCAACTGAATCAGCATTATTGTTAAATATCTAAATTTACAGTAATGCACTGATGGCATTGCAGCCTTGAATTAACCTTGATTAACCCTGGATCTCACAGACAACTTGGCATATTTTCTCTTATCTCTCAGGTAGCTGAGATCCGCAACATTCTTGAAAAATCCATGCTAATCTTGCTAAATGTTTTATCTTTATTTAGTGTTCACTGAAATTTTATCTTTTTTTTCCTCCTATAAGTTTAGTACCAAGGTCTTGGATCTGGCCCGAAAACAGAGGATGAACACTGACATTAGAAGAAATATTTTCTGTGTTGTGATGACCAGCGAAGATTACTTGGATGCCTTTGAAAAGCTCTTGAGGTATGAGCAGAGACTGTGCAATAACACCTCTATAACTTTCAGAAAAAAGTCTGCAGCTTATTTTCAGTGCTTTAACAAGGCAGGAGAATCTTGTCTACCCAGCCCCAGACAGCCCTTTGTGGGAATTAAAAGTCAGCAGTCTCTCTCGCAACCTAACCACGAAGCCTAGCTGTATGTCCCTTACTTGAGGAGTATGGGGTAATAGGTCATCAGTGTTTTATTCCTTGTAAGAAACAGAGACATTGATGGAGGCTAATTACACATAAGATGGTTACAGCCAATTGTAGAAATCCAGAGTGAAGTCGGGGTTTTTCTCATAGATGTTGTTCATTTTTGAAAAGTTTTCTCTCATATTTTCCCGTTCATGAAACTCCACAGGCTGGGCCTCAAGGATCAGCAGGAGAGGGAGATTGTACATGTGCTCATGGACTGCTGCCTGCAAGAGAAGACCTTCAATGCCTTCTACGCTGTGCTGGGAGAGAAATTCTGCGCATACGATAGGCGTTTCCAGGTATAGATCAGGCAAACGGGAAACAGTGCTTTTTAACTACACTTTCAAAAGGACATCTGACTTTTGGTGGGCTCTATACCTTTATTTTGTACAGGTTTTTAGTGTGAGTGACATCATTAATCACCAATGACCAAGCTCTTAAGTGCATCCAGTGTTTAGCATGTTGAAATAGCAGAAACTCTTAAGCTACTCTTCTTACTGTATTTAAGGAAAATGCTGTCTTTATTGTATTAACTCCATTATTTGTTTACAATTCAATGAACTTGATGTAAGCTTCTCCATAGAGAACAAGCACTGAATCATGTTAAAGCTACAGGGTTTGATGCTGCACTAACAAAGCAAATAGATTTTGTTTGGAACATAGTTTTACGTGTAGTTGAATTTTGAAGTTTATTGTAGCAGAACATTATGTGAAGGAGAGTTTTTTATTGCATAGAATCAAAGGAATCATTCCCTACAAGCTGAGAAACAAGAACTGACCAACCTCTATAGTTGTGTGAGAATATTTTATTTGGCAACCCCCAGAAAGAAAAACTCAATATTATTTTTAAAACAGACAGTTTTGTAATTTGGTTTAATATTGGATATTAGCCAAAACTGGATATTGGTCTGTGTGATAATATCTGTGTGATTTGGAATATTATTTTGTTCATTGTAATATGTAATATGATATATATTTTTGCATACTTCCAAATTCTAACTTTAAAATGTTCTGACTTTATTAAATATGTGTCTATTAATAGACCACAAAACCTTGTATAGGTTTGATAAAATCTTATTAAAGCCCTTTTCTAGTCCAAGTGTAGTCTTATGCCAGTTTGACTGAGTATACAGTATACTGTAAATCAATCATAATAATTTGCAGTGTACCACTGTTAAGGTTAATGTATTCTGCAGCAAAAAATAGAATTACAGCTATAGAGACCTCCACATTGACTTAAAGTACATTTTTGAGTTCCAGTAAATTAAAAGATTCAGCCCTTAAGGGGAACTGCAGACCCAATTTCTCAGACAGGTTATTAAATCTCAGTAACAAAATAAATTCATTGACGTTCTAGAAAGAAATGACAAATTTTGAATGAAGCACAAAATTGTGAATTCTGTGAAAATGCTGTAAGTCCCCATGTTGTCACAAACTCGAATTTGAGTTCCCACAAACTGTGACATGATGCCCCCTTCCTCCTTGTGTCATGTGATGTATGAGCGAAGTGTTTTGCAGCAAATATTTCACTGCCGAAATGTTCCAACATCATCTGCGTGAATGAACGGAAATAAGAAGTAAATAGTATCTTTTGGAAAAACCATCTCGAAATCTTAAGCAATATTTCTGTTGGATTAAAAGAGATGTATTCACAAGCCTGCTTGATTACAATGTCACAGGGCTGCAACACCTCACCTGAAAATGTGTTGCCTCATTCTGAATCGCAGAACATGGTGCTGCACATACCTGGAAATTGAATCTGTTTTGTGATGTAAATTGGAGGTTTGACAAGTTACTGTGTACGTTTTACTTTGACTGCAGTTTGAAATCCACTCATCAATGCAAAATATGAAAATAGCTTTGCAGTTCCCCTTTAAGGGTAAAGTGAAGAAGTCGATTCTGATGACCCTGGCCCATTTATTATTTACAGTTCTCGCTGATGATCAAACAAATCCTGCCAAACAAAAGAATGCTCTTCCTGCCTCATTTCCCCTTTGTTTCACACCTAGATCTGACCTCTGGTCAATCATTCATTCCCCCACAGCCAAACTGGTCTGTGTGCTTTCCCACAAATGTCCCTCAATTCCATCAAGATTGTATTCCGGTCATTCTAAACTAGATTGACTGAAAATGGATGTAAGTAAGCTTGAAATCATCTGTTTTTCTGGTAACCGCATATTGTTCCAGTGAATCTGTCAGTTTGAATTGAAAAATATGACTTTCTCGCAGATCTTCCTGCAAATGTATTTCATTGCCCCATTTATTGTCTTGAGTGCTGTTGCTTGTGGATATGGGATTAGTTATCCTGACTTGTACTACGGCATGCTACATTTTCACTTAATCCCTCGAGAAAATGGAGAGATGGAACAAGACGCAGTGTACTACTCAAGATAAAAAAATGTTTTCTACTCTGAAAATGGCTTTTGTAAGTCTTCTAAATCCTGCTAATTGTTTTACAACCTTCAATTCTCAGATGACTTTTCAGTTTAGCATGTGGGATAAATTCCGTGATCTGACAAGCATGACCAGCTCCACCTTCAGCAACCTGGTACACCTGCTGGTCCATTTCCTGAAGAAGAAGTCTCTGTCTCTGTCTGTCCTCAAGGTGTGTTACCGTATTTGAAGCGTATTTGAAGGTTTTCAAGGTTTCTCTTAATCCACAGCACTTGAAGAGCTGGGAGACAATGGTAACTTGGTCCAGTTAAGGCAGTAACTAGCTCTCGCCAAGAGCTGAAGCACAATACCCGAAATCCAACAAGACAGCTTCAGCAACCTGTTGCAAAGCATGTGTCACTGATGTACAGCTCGTATAGCTTCTAGGAATGACCAGTCAACACAGCGATGAGGACATGCTAATTGGTTTAATGTTTTTGTCAAGTCTGTTCTATGTCCATGCACCTCTAATGTAAATTGGCATTTTCCTGAAATTATATGAATCGGATGAAGTTAAAACTGATATGAAATCTTGTGATCCATGATATACAATGATTCTAATGCGGAGTGAGTCTATTTTGAGCTTCATCTCAAGCACTGTGTAGGTTCTAGGTGCAAAGCAAAATTCTTATTTCAGCTTAGCTGCAGAATCAAGGATTTAAGGCCAGCTGGTTTTGCTTCCAAGCACTTTTTCCTGTTTGGAGAAAGCTACATGTTTCTCCTTATGGTCATGGTTTTTACATTCACATTTATTTACAGGCGATAGAGTTCAGTGAACTGGATAAGCACAAAGTCAGGTTTCTGCGCCAAGTGCTGACTAAACTTCTACGAGACACTGAACCAGAAGAGCTCACAAACATTTTTGTCAGGTATGAGTAACGGTAGATTTTTGGTGTGCGGGTTCACAATTGTTTCATCATATTTTAATTCACCTTTTTCTTTTTTCCTTGCATTTTGTACACATGCATTGCTGTTGAGATGTAACAACAATAATAACAATATTGTATAATATTATACAGTACATAAATAATATTCAGAAACACAGAAGAATATTCAGAAAGCAATGTATTCCGAAAATCAGATACTACCATTTCTTTCTAAGTGCTTTTGTGAAACTGGCCTTAAAAAAGTTCTAGTTGCGCAATGTGGAGGCAGTTGAAATAGGTCTAGCAGTTTAATTATTAAAGGTGTGACTTTAAAGGATGAAAATATACACTGAAGAAAGGATGTAAAGAAATGAAGAAATCCCATTTCCTTTACTGTCAAAGATCAAACATTTTATGATTTCATAAAATTTAAGTGGCTTTTTTACTGCTTCAAATCCTTGTCTTTCATTTGCTTTACAGGATTTCGGGAATTCCAAAACTCGGAATGCTTAAGGAAGGCTTGAAGCTTTTCATCAGTCACTTTCTCCTCAAAAATGTCGAAAGCCTGGAGACAACTGAGCAAGCAAACCTGCTGAAGGAACGAGCTGATATAGCCATAAAGGCCTTGGAGGCCAGAGACTCTAAGCTCAAACTTTAAGAAGCATCTCCAGAAGAAGGCCTTCGCCATTTTTTAGTGTATTTTTATGACGTTCCTATTAATGGTGAAAAGGCTTTTTATATGTGGACGTTCAGAACTGGTTGTTCTGCTCTGGAAGTCTTGCAGCTGAAGTGGTCATTTTAATGACAGTGAAATTCTACATCTGATTTGTACAAAATATCTTGCCGATCAAGATAAAGGCTTAACTCACCAGAGTCGACAGCTGAGAAAAGCATCTTTAGCTTGTTTCGTGCGTTGCTGCAATTATTGTACTTTTCCACATAAATAAAAATACATCTGAAATTCACTAAAGTGAGGTTGATTGTACTATTTTGAGTCTGTACTATTTTTTGGGATTCTCCTGCTGGGACCTATTTAAAAAACAGATTTGTCCATGTAGTAGCACTTTTTTATACCATATTTATTGTTAATTTGGCATTGAAGCCATGATTCTTTAGAGTTTAAGTGATTCACCTTTTCGAGAATTGCATTAACACTTTTTCACTTTGAATATCCTGTTATGATTTGATCAATATTCTTCTGAATATCTGCCTACAGGTTTACAGCCACCTTAATACTCTTCCTGTTTGCACTCATTAGTCTGCAAAAAGTGGCATTCTTGAAGCTTTGCTCCTAATTCTCTTACACCTTCATGTTGCCTTTCACATAAAAATTGAACTATCAGGGTGAAGAATTTCCAAAGTCTGCTATGGATGTAATGTACTTCATAGATGTGAACAGAAAAAATCACATGCACGATTTATGAGTGTGTTGGATCCGTGGGATTTTTTTTAAAATTACTCTGTCCTGGGGACAACTTTTGCTTAGTCGCACATTTTTATGAATTCTTCAATTTTGACCAGATAATCATGCTATTCTAAAATGCCTTTTCTTGTAGTAAAATGAAATAAGGAAACAATTTTACAGGCTGATCGTAGCTTAAACTACATTAAACGTGGTACACATTTCAAAAGCTCTTAATGTGTATTTTTTGTTCTAGTTTTTGTTTCTTTAGTGAAAGAAACAAAAACTTACCCGGGAGTCTCCAATCCTGGTCCTGGAGGGTTGATGTGTCTGCAGGTTTTCTGGGTCTATTTAATGCAAAATCACTTGAGGACATGGGTACTGTATACTGTATATCAGAAAATAAGTCCAATTGAACCAATAACTCATGGTTTGGGTACTTAAAAGCCCCACTGTACTGAAAACCTGTAGTTATACTGACTCTCCGGGAGCAGGACTGCACATTCCAGTGTAAGAGTTTAGAAAATATGTTTGAAAATATTTCATTACCTCTATTAATCATTCATTGAAGCTATTAAAGTGTTTCAATCTACTAAAAGAGAAATACCCAATGACTCTTTGACTTCAGGTTTAACCTAATTGTCCCTTTAAACATGCTGGGTACAGTCCATATCTTGTCTGTAGAGGGCAGAATTGTTTTATGTTTAATGAATGCAGGCTTTTTGCCACTTCCATTTCATTTTGCAGAGCAATAAAACAAAATTTGACTTCTTAATTTATGTTGACAATTTTAGCTTCAAAAAACATCTATGTTTTAATAGCAAGACGAAACGCTTTTACCTAAAGAATCTTGATACCAAAGACTTATTTACATATTGAGCAACCTGCTGCTACCTCTCACGTACTACATACTGATAATATTGATTTTTATTGAAACAAAATGTAGTTATATAAATGTTCTAGTTACTAGTGCCACTGAGTTAAAATATTTAAGTTCCTAGCTTTTTCGTAGAAGTCCATTTCTCATTTTGTTAACTAAAAATCTCCTTCTTTACATACATTAAGAATTTTGTGCACCCAGAAATATTTCTAAAGTTTCCGACTCCTTCAGAATTCACTTGAATATATAATACTTATAGTAGTCATGTCCAAGATATGTTTTGTATTTTTAGAATACAGTACTGACATACAAACAGTTTTAAATATTTTACCAGATTTTGGGATACACTATTGCAGGATATGTTTTCAGATCCCCAAATTATATATAATTTATTATTCCCTTCTTTAGAGGAAAACTGATAATGTGTGCATACTGAGATCACTAAGGTATTTACTAGGTAGGGTGATACTACTAATAGCTGTTACTGCATTTATTTAGTTTACAGTCACATGCCATCTCTTTACTGGAGCAATAAAAATAAATCATATTTGAATCCATTTTCAGGGTTTCACTATTGTTTATTTGTAATTTAAAAGATATTTCTAGAATTTCTCTGTACTAACAATTCTTCATAATTGTGCTTTTCATAGCAGGGGACTGTTGGATTTTAAATATTAAAGCATTTATTTTTCTTCTTATTAAAAACTCAAGTGACTAGTGATTTGCACAATCCACATAGTGGGCAATATAAATGTTTTCTTATAGATAGCATAAAAACCTTCCCTTTTGTAAAAATAAAAAGGTTAGCTTTGTTGACTAAAAATGCAAAACAAAAAAAAACGTTTTACTATTAGTATATAACTGTCTTTGACCTGCAGAGTTAAATGACTAGGAAAGATCAACAATAATGCTGCTGGATTCAATGGAGTACGATACTTTAAACACCATTAGAACATCAGCTTCCAAACTCAAACCCATTTCATGTGGTTACCCATGTGTTACGCAAAATAAAGTACACTAGTAAGTGTACTGTGCATATCAGGAAATCCAACAGTGACAAAAAATGGCTGAAATAAGAAATACAGGACATTTATGGAAACCTTTTAATACACTATTGAATTTCACAGCTGCTACACATTATTGCATTTAACTAAATGGTGCTTAAGTTTTGGGAAATTGCAATTTTCAGGATTTGGAGGGTATTTTAAGGGAAACCAAAAACCCATTGTCCTTTTTACATCATGAATGGATGATATTTTCTTTGTTGAAGTCAGCTAAGCAATACCAGAAGTTCACCAGTTTTGAACCATATACCCTTGCTCTTGCTCATAGCTCAGACCTCGGCAGACGGTACTTTGTTACTGGCAATAATGTAAGTACTGCTTGAGAATAAGAAAGTCCCATCTGCTGACCCCACCTCTGAGCACCCCCAGGACTGTTAATTAAGCAGAATGGAAAACCTCCAGGTTTGAAAGCAAGACATTGTCAGGACCTTGACCTTTTTGTGCATATGGTGGTTTCTTTTTTTCAAGCCTAAGCCCAGTTTGATTAACTTTATTACTATTGTTATTAATTAAGGTTTTGAAAAATAGAGCCAGGCGGAGACATTCCTCTAGCGTTAAAATAGTCATCCCAGAAATAATTGAATTGCCCAATTTTCCAACAGTAAGTCAGCCATGACATTTATATTCCGTATATATCACTCTTTTGCACAAGCGTATGTGTCAGGCCCGGTATCATGCAGAATGCAGAATGCCAAACTACCAGTGCACCTGGCTTTATAATCCCGGTTGATAATACGTTGTTTTTGCTGTAGTCATTAGAAGCATGCAGTAATCGCTGTTAATTAACAATATGAATATAGACAAAGCCATAAAAAATGATTAATTAATTTGATTTCATTACTGTCCTCAAAACAATTTGCTTATCATCATTTGTAAATTGAATCAAGATTCATATGTAACATGAAAGTTAATTAGCGCAGACGTAGTGTGCTGTAATGAAATTATGGATGTCATGTATCGTCCACCTAAAGCTGACCATGATATTGTCGTTTTGTGAGCTCCGTGTTCTTCATGGCAGAATCTTTCCTTGAAATTCAGTTCCTGACAGAGGAGCCTAACAAAAATATCTGTATTTATCCTTAATTTAGGTTTGTCACACCAAAGGGGTAGAATACTTATGCAATTATGACTTTTCCGTTTTTCTTTCACATTTGTTATCTATTAACTTCTTTCTTTTTGTTAGTTTTTTGCTTTGAATGTATACTAATACTGTAAATATTAATTTCTACTTCAAAGTGTTTTGACCGCAGGTTTAAAGCAACTAAGTAGTGAAAGCTGTAAGGGCCTTAGTCCTTTTGTAAGGCACTGCTTGGCACTATTTGTATGCAGTAAGTACTATAACAACACAATTATTTTGTATATGCTTTAGGTGGCCCGGGCTTTTATAAAAAAAACTCCTTTTTTTCCTGGAACTTAAGCTTATGCTGGCATCACACTACACGACTTTTCCTGGGATTTTCAGTCTTAGCCTTCATGTACATAATCATGAGAAAATCACAGTGAGTTGTAGAGAGTTGCAGCTCGTGCCCCTTACCGTCAGTTGTGTAGTGTGACACCCCCAGCGACTCAGTCATAGCGCCGTTAACAGCCCCAACGACTCTCTGCGACTCTTACGACAAAATCGAACTGAGTCGCAAGTCGTAGGAGTGTGCAGTGCGCCAGGTGTGTACTTGTGAGATAATATGCCCATTATATTACACGTTTTAGCACAATACTAATTTTTTTAACAATATTTTTTAAAGGTGTTTTTTCATTTTAACTGTGTTTTATTTTTTGTAAATTTGTTCTATATTTATAAAGAAGAATTGTATTTCTGAAGATGTTTATTTGTGGATAACAATGTCCTGTGTCACATTTTTCAAGATGTTTCCGTGCTTGTACTAAAATGATGTACTTTCATGGCACAATACGAGATTTGGTACCGTAATGAAAAGTCATGAGGGAATCGTGTAATCAGTCACCCCCTGCGATTCCTAGTCGTATGATTTGACACCCTCTAGGACAGAGAAGGCAGCGAGATTCAGCAACTGCAGTCGTTAAATTTGACATGCTCTCGACTGGAAGTCGTGCCGAGTCGTGTGACGCTGTCTTTAGCCGCCTGAGTCAAGTCAACACCCGTGAGAGGCAGACTCTTGATCTGTGGTGACAATTTTGGACAGAATCAGAAGATTGCAGAGATCACATGACCAGCCTGAATCACCTTTTCCTTTGGACCATGAATTCGCTTTACGTATTGGATTGTTCGCCTGCCTTGTCATCTGCCTACTCGGGCTTCAGCACTGGATCTGTATACCTTTACATTGAGGATTCCTGACAATTTCCTTGTCAACAAGAACACAGAGGAGCAACTGTGCTTATCTGCTGCTACACACATTCTTGAACCCGGACTGGATTTCAATGTACACTTGTTCACCAATTGCACAAAAATGTGAGATGAATGGCAAGTATTTGTCTGACCTAGTGGAAATCACTTCTAAGGGCAGAGAATTATCTTACATCATGATTACCCCACCCTTAGGCACCTGAATGAATGTCTTTTTGTTTGGTAATCTAGTTATACTGACATATTTTAAGTTTCTGAAAGACAAACACAAACACAGACATGCACACATTCACACG